TTGATTTGTACTCCACAAATCTCAGCCGATACCTCACACAACTCGTTAACGTCGCATATCTATTATTGTCGTGACGTCATGGCTCGCTGGCTCACACTTGCTATGTCTCGCACTTGTGATCAAATAACACGCTGGCTCGCACTTTGGCAACACTCTTTGGCAGTCAACTCGCCCCTAGAAAACCTGCCCTTGGAAACTTGCCCCATAAAAAAATGTACACTTCCTAGACCATGCAGTCTTTGAAATAAAAATTGTAACCTTTGGTAATTAACTACATTTTCCACATACATAGAAATTTTTGAAACTTTATTAAAAAAAAACATAAACCACAATTCACCACTATAGACACTTTTTGACAAAAATGAAAATTACGACTTTGTTACCCAGAAGTGTTCTAATATAGACAATGGGTCGTGTCTCATATTATTTGTTATATTTTTATTATTCATTATTTTCACTTGACTCGCATAAATAATTTTGTTCGAAGAAAATTAATATGCAGTTAGTACTTCGCAGCTCTTCACTTGCAATTTGCAATTTCTAGTATAATATACACTAGACTATTCTGACTTCCTTGTATGTTCCTTTTTGGTATCTTGTTATCAACACCCTATGTGTCATACGATAGAGGGCTCACTCATAATCTTAAGTACCTTCATTACAGGTACCTCCAATTGAAGACCACTTTTCTGCGGCCCGGTTGAATTCCTATCTCTTAATAATTATGCTGTTCTATTTAGACCAAAGATATGTTAGTAGACCCAACTCATAATTTCCCTCTAATTAAAGACCACTGAAATAAATAGTGATGTCAATGCATTTTTTTATGATATAATTTATAATGTTATTATGACTTAAACATCAAAATATTAGTCAATGCACATCATAAAATGTTTGGTGAGTGTTTTGTGTATATTGAATAACGATAATGAGTGGTAATTGGTTAAAACCAGGGACATCCAGTGAGGAGCCGTGGCCCCTTCCTTTTGTACACAGTGTTAATATTTTAAAGCTTGTTCTTGCTAGCCAATACAAATTCTTTCCTAGGATCACTCAAAATCCATAAATCTCAGACCAAGTCTTTTTAAGATATATGTAATATTTGTATGGTTCAGTTTGGTTTTTATCTTTTTGCAGGCTTTTATAAAGTTTTGCTTACAATAATAATGATGATGATGACGATTGTGATAATGAAAATAGATAATAATATTAATAATATTAAAAAGTGAAGAAAATTGTGCTAAAGGCAAGAAAGAAAGTTGTGATTTGTTGATCATAATTATTATAGCACAGTTAGAGCTTTGTATAAGCTATTAGGCCTAAGTTGTTTTGATATTAAGTAGATCCCTGATAAAGATCATGAATGAGAAATTTGTTGGCGCCTCATTTTGACTAATGGGAAGGTGGTGATGATGATGAATTTTACTATATAAAAGTGTTCTCACTTCAGCCCCACCCATGGTGGGGCTGAGGTTGTGAAATCACGGCTTTAAAGTATGTAAAGTAAATACTCAACTCGAAGACAGTGTGTTTAAGCTTTATTTTCTACGGTACATAACAACACATAATAATAATATGATCTTTATGGCTGCCGAAAATTCCTGATAAATGATCATGAGAAATTTGTAGGCACTTCATTTTGACTATAAATATGTGATGACACTAAAAGTGTCATTTCTTGCATCTAGAGGTACTAGTTCCTCAAATTGTCTCACCTGAGCCCAAACCATGTGGGTCTGAGGCCGGTGTCAACTCACGAAATGCCCCCCCCTCCCCCGCCCCCCCTCCGCCACCCCTCCACCTTTCAAAACAGATTTCGCTCTTCCCGGGTATAACATTAAACTCCATCGATCGAGTCGGCACCTGACTCAGAAGTAGGCTTACGTCTTAGTTAATGCTGAGGCGAGGGTGCATACATTGTTTTTAGGATGTGATCTGGTTTTTCATGTCCATTTTTCGTAAAAATAAATACAGTTAAAGAATGTTTTGAGAAGAAATACTTAAGGGTCTTGAATTCGTTTTATAGACAAATGGGTGTCTACAAAACGAAGACCCGAAAAACGAAGACCCAAATTTTTTTCTCTCTTTTTTAATGATAATACACCAGGCTGTCACAAAATCATAATTACTAGGTAATTTGAACTTTTGTTTGTGATATTATCAAGGATCTTCGTTTTATAGACATCCTATACGTGTGTCTACAAAACGAACACCGAGACCCGAAAAACGAAGACCCGGGCTCCAATTCCTTCTCAAAATCTTATTGAAAATATTTCAAATTCATCAGAAAACAGTTGCCAAGTACCTATTTCATCGGAATAAAATGAGGAATATCAAGAAATACTTAAGGGTCTTCGTTTTATAGATACCCTATATGGGGCGTCTACAAAACGGAGGTAAATTAGTTTACGGTATTCACACCCAAAACAAGACACCAACAAGACACCAAAGTTCTTATACTAAACGCCTAAACACATACTCAACCGTTGGTGGCGCCTTTACACTTTTTATTCTAATCGCATGGTTATAGCAAAGAGTATAGCATGGTTATAGGATGGTGCCCTACAACTTCATTTCGTACGTTTGCATTTGGAACTCAATAATCTTATGGCTGCCAGGTATCGAATATTACAATAGCATTATTATAATTGCAAAGTTGCTTTTATCTAAGCCGTCACACATAAGCACCAGGCCTACTACTATAAGTAGGGCTTTCCTTCAACAGGCTAGGCCGAGCCTAGCTAGCGCCGGCATTAATATAGGCCTAGCTAGGGGCCTAGTACGAAGTGGCCATGCTTACGCCGAGTCGTAAGCATTAGTCATAGCATGGAGGTATTATTGAGAAGGAGATCACTCGGCAAAGCCACGCGCACGCACCGCTATGCAAATGAACCAAGATCAAAGTTGCCGCAGCGCATAAAGAACGTTTGCGCGATGCCTTTGAAGTCCCATGTGTTCCCCGCCATCAAATTTTCAGCAGGCATAGTTGACCAAAAAATTGAACATGACGAAATGGAGAGCACCTTCTTTTCTCAATGCGCACTACATACTGTCAATCACTATGGCTGCGCAATTTTTTCTATTTTGAAGCTGATACATCTATCTCTCATAAAATATCAAACATAATTAAATATTTTCCTCCAAGAAAAGTTTCGAATTTTAATGGAACATTTACATGACCTATAAAAGTATAGTATATTTCAACTTCAATTTTCATAAATTGGCCAAAATTCGCCAATTCTAATTTTAACAGATATTAATTAATACATGATTAAGGATTATAATAAACTAAGTCATTTTAGGGTTAACTATTCGAAAAATGAATCCTAAATCTGAGTATTTTTCAGTTTTACGCTGACTTAGCTTTATAGTCGAACCAGTCAATCTTTAGACAAAATTATAATGAACACAGAAGTAATTTTAACATAAATATTTTACGGAATCCGTTCCTGAAATATACAAATAATAACATACCAAAACATTGTTCATTATAAAGATATTTAATGGGTTAAAATCAAACGTTTTATTGCACAACTGCTCTGCTTGAAGCATATAAATGCATGTCGTTGCCAAGTTGTTGCTAACGAAAAAATGTGAATTATAGGGTAATACACCTGCGCGCGATCCAAAAGCGGGGAACAAATATGTTTGTCGCGTCAAAGGGATCTGTTGCCGAGTGATCTCCTTCTCAATAATACCTCCATGGAGGTATTACTCCTTCTCAATAATACCTCCATGGAGGTAAGTCGAATGGCCGAGCGGTTAGCAGGGGCGCCGCAAGCTATAGCCATAATATCGGCGCTGGTTCGAACGGCACGCTCGCCTATGGTTCTGGTGGTAGAACAAGTCTTCTCGGATAAGGACTATAAACCGTAGGACCAGTGTATATAATGGCTCGTGTGCACTATAAAGAACCCAGTACATCCTTCGAGACGAGTAGGGGGATACCCCAGTGTACTGGAACAGACAGCCCCTGTGGTGGACGACGAGAGTTGCTGGTACCGGGTTACCGGGTAGCACAGAGACATGAAGGGACCCTTAGGGGCGAAGAAAGTCATTGATTGAGTTCCTAGTCCACACATCACCAGCGCATTGAGACTTCGGTATAATGCGCTATACCAAATCCCACTACATTACATTACATTAATAACTCCATGGAGGTATTATTGAGAAGGAGATCACTCGGCAACAGATCCCTTTGACGCGACAAACATATGTGTTCCCCGCTTTTGGATCGCGCGCAGGCGTATTACCCTATAATTCACATTTTTTCGTTAACAACAACTTGGCAACGACATGCATTTATATGCTTCAAGCAGAGCAGTTGTGCAATAAAACGTTTTCGTACTCACAAAGCAAGCGGCGCCCTTGAAATAGATCGGTGTAAGCATAACCTATGATTAATGCTTACGACTCGGCGTTAGCATAGACACTTCGAATAAAGTAAGCTTTCGATCCATGACGGTAGACAGGAGAGGACGGCAAAATGGTACAAAAATGTATCTGCGCATGCGTGTAAGTTCAGTACCGGTCTTCTCTCGATTTAACGTACGGTCTAAAATATGACGGGAAGCGGCGCACTGGGAACCAGGGAATGTTTATTAAAGTTGTGTGTGATGCATGACAGACAAAACCTAGGCCTAGGCCTTTCAGCTTTCTGTGCAAGCAGCCTCTCCTTACCTAAAATAACTGTTACACTCGTCGTCATTGTATCCGTTTAAATCAAATGGGGCATAGTTGTTGTACTGGAAATCTGGATTTCTTGACGTATTTATTTTGTATAAAAACAAATTCTGCATCATCAAGAAAGCCATATAAATACGTATTTTCAATGTTTTCACGAACTACACATAAATTCGGCATTCTCAGCAGTTATCAGTTCCTTAGATCGCGTACCAGGCTAGGCTAAGAAAAACGTTGCAAGTCATTCGATGTTAACTTTAGGGCGTTTGTGTACGAGCCACTGTCTTGCAGCGGGTAGAATGATCTAAACATGTTTTCACAGCAGGACGGGAGGCGTTTGTGACGGTCAGGTAGCTCTCCGTACCCATTTCCCACCGTCACGAATCGAAAGCTCACTAATAAGGAAAGAAGGGCCAACCAGGCTAGGACCCTAACTACTAACTAGGGCCAGGGAGTTGCTAAGCCTACTGTACCTAGTGTGCCAGGTGTCGCTAAAACAGACCCTCTAAAAAAATGGTAAATATTGTTGAATTAGTAATTTATTGAATGCCCAAGAAGCTTATACTGCAACGGAGTCCATCGATCAAAACATTCTTCACTAAAGAAAGTCTGCTTTTTAGTTCCTTAAAAATAAATACACACACTTCACACTTCTTCTTTTGCATCTGGTCTTTGCATAAAATTTTATGGTATAAGATGTCAAAATTGACTGCTATCAATCATAGTGACCAGACAATCCAAGTTCGGTTTACGTTCAGATATGAAGATGAGTTGGCCCTGGTCCTGCATTAACTCAATATAGGTCGACTTTGTGCTGGCTTAAAATTTATTGATGGTTTGCACTTAAAAACTTTACTCGGTCACAGTCAACTCGGCCGCAAGTCAGCTCGGCCACAGTCATACAGCATGATTGAAATAACGTACGCAATAGATTGTAGTAAAATTCAGATCATCGTTGTACTACTTAAGGTCTAATCTTTATAATATTTCTTCATACTCTAATTCTAATTCTTAATAATTAAGAAAAACATATTTTTTCACATTGAAACACTGACACAAGACGAGAGTAAAAAGACATACACTCACCTGATGAAGCCCTATTGACTGGGCGAAAGCTTGTGAAATAAAATTCATCGTTAGTCAAAAAAGTGTTACCTACTCATTTGTTTCAAAGACATACAGTAATCGTAAAACTATGAAATTATAAAAACTACAAATCCAAGTTCAGGTAAATTGCATACTTCTATGAATTAGCAAATAAAATGATAACAATTTTCTTTAAAACCATAGACCTAGCCAATGAATTACGTTAAAATTGGGCACATAAAATCTAGTAAACAATTATCCACAATAGGAACAATTAGTATTGTTGATGGTAATACTGACTGACCTTTTTCTAATTTTCACCATTTTTGTTCAACCAGATGGTGCTATGGTTCAATCTTGTTAGTGACAAGGAACCAGTCAATGGCAATGGCAGGAATCACTGGTGCAGACATGCCAACCACTCCGATTTCGGCAGAGTTACTTCGATTATTTAAGCAAAACTCAGCACTCCGATTTTGGGTAGAAAATCTCCGCTTTTTACACATTTTAGCAAGCTGAAATAAATCGCACATTTCCTACTAAAAAGGATAATCCTATGATTTAGATAAGAACAAGACCACTTAATTTCGTCCTGAAAACAGCACTGTGAACTGTATACGAAATAATAATTTGCGCTTTACGGTCTACTGATTTTGACAAAAACCAATTTCATTGACCTAATCGCTGTCAGAGTTGCACTCTGAACTGTATACGAAAAATTTATTTGCGCTCCATGGTCCACTGATTTTGAAAAAACAAATTTCATTGGACAAATTGATGTCAGAGTTGCACTGCACTCTGAAATGTATAGTGCTCCATGGTCTACTGATTTTTTAACAACAGTCTAGTAAAGCACGATTTCAAAAAAATGTGAGTCCAATGAGAGCGATATGGATGTAGGCTATGTTGAGCTTCCTCCAAAAAAGAAGCTAAAACACACGCAAACGTGCAAATTAATAACGGAAAGTATCCTGTCAGTTTGAAATCAAAACTACTGTAGGCGATGCCTACGTTACGCTTGTCGTAATTGGTGTGGTGTTGATTTTCTGTCTAGGCCTATGCTAGGGCCTAGTCTTGCACATTGGTATTGAATTGCTGTTTACAATCCGATCACATTGGTACTCATGTCTTAGGAATACTCCTCTCACATTGCCAAAAATCCGCTCAGAAGTTTTTCAGACTCCTCTTGTTGGCCTTGTAGGGTTGGCATGTCCACCGGTGACATGTCGGTGACACAGGTTATGGGAAACGAATTATTCATGTGAACAACAATGATGTAAATGGATTTCTTTTAATTAATAATTTTTGTGATGTGTTTTATGTTCATGTTAAGCTTCCCTTTTAAATAGGAAGTTGTATTATCACTGGAAAAAAAAAAAATCATTTTACAGTGAACCAAGTCTGAATTAACAAGAAGAGTAATAATATTAATAATACTATTACGTACAATAAACCGTGGTTATGTGAGTATACCTGTATACAGCACACATTAGGTATTCTAGTAGAGTACAGAGTAACAAGAAATAGTAAAAAAAAACTTGTTATAATATTGCAAATGTATTATTTAAAACAAGAATTAGGATTCCATCATACTAAATTAATATATTAATTATTCATTCATATTATTAATGTGTGGCCGAGGTGGCCTGTCGCCAAGTTGACTGTTTGACTGTGGTCGAGTAGACATGTGGCTGAGTTGACTGTGGCTGAGTTGGATTGAACTTATTAGTAGTAGACCAAGCCAACAAAGTTGGAAAAGAAGGGTGGTTACACCCCTTTTCCACCTCTAAAAATTTGTATCTCATTAAACGTCCCAAGTTTTTCTCAAGCACCATTTTTGTGTTTTAGGAAAATCAGTTATACAACATCAACAAAATTTCTCCCAGAGCTTGCAAATTTCTTACTATGGCCATTGTTATTGTAGGTGACAACATTGGTGACTCCAGTAATTTGCCGACAGGGGGCTCCAACAAGTCCGATTGGGTTGAACAAACAGGCCGACTAGAGTTTCAGTCAGGGTCCCAGAAAAATATCCTTGGAGGGTTCATCGAATGATTTTTTTTATGGCTACATTTACACTAGACACGACACAGAAGCACGCAGTGTTGAAGAATACAAACTGTGCAATGATATGTCGTTTCGTAGTAGTGTAAATCTAGCTTTAGTATTGCTGAAAGTTGTGCTTTTAGAACAACATAAATTAGGATTAGCAATCAAGAGGTATGTAGTTACTCAAAAATCAGAGTGTCTGCGCCTGCCGCTAAAACTCCCGACTTTGAAGGTTTTGCGTACTATACATGAAAACTCCAAAATCGGAGTTTTCAAACTTTTATTCAAACCTCCAATTTTGGAGTTTCTGTGTACTGTTAATTAAAACAAGCTCTCTTTATATAGGGAGAAAGCAAAACGAGTATGGCAAAACTTTTAATCAAACCTCCAATTTTGAAGTTTTCGCGTATAGTACGCAGAACCTTCGAAGTTGGAGGGTTGGTTAAAAGTTTTGAAACTCTGATTTTGGATCTTGAAAGAATTTCATTTAGCTTCAGGAATTGTATAGTGGCAAATTTTTGTTCTTGTAAAGCTAAAATGGAAATGGAGTACTTACTCAGAACGTTTCGATCCCTATCAGAGATCTTTATCAACTGACAGCTAGGTGTTATTTATCTTGGTCATGACGTCATCTGTTGATGACGTCGTACACCGCCTCTGGATGTAGGTCAAAGGTTGTGCGGGGCCCGGCTTGGTATGAATTCTGTAAGATCATTGTACAGATGAGAGAGTTCATGTGCTCCTTGATCCCTGTTCATGATTTTTTCTTTGTTGCGCCATACAGTATATACAAAGACTCTCTGATCTGCCTATCTTTTTGTTTGGGTTCTTTTGCTAGTATATTTGCCTCCCAGTTTGTGTGGTGGTGTGTGATTGTGATGTATGGCATGGTCTGTAATAGCTGATTTTTGTATTTTAGTAGATGTAGAAGATCTGGCAGCCCTAGTCCTTACTCCCCCTGCTCCCTATGTTGTTTATTTCAATCTCCCTCATATCCTTGTCCACAACCAATTTCTCGGCTCTGTCCATTAGCGTGTTAATAGGCCCCAGTTTGTGAACTAATGGATGATGTGATTCAAAGGGTAAATATTGATCTGTGTGTGTGGGTTTCCGGTAAACAGAAGTAGTAACTGTGCCATCATCTTAAACTAGATTTGCATATCCAAAAAAGAAATTGAGTTATTAGTCATGTGTTCGGCATTGAATTTTATATTGTTAGTGATGTCTATATTATTTAAATGTGCATTGAGTGTGTGTGTCGTACCTGCAGGGATGATGGCTAGCACATCATCTACATACCGCTTCCAGAACACAGGCTTGATGTTACTCGGTGCTGTAGTTATGGCTTGTTATTCATGCCACTCAAGATACAGATTAGCTAATATGGGACTGATGGGGCTTCCCATAGCAATGCCCTGTTTTTGCTTGTACATTTTGCCGTTGAACGAGAAATAGGTCTTGTTGACGATTAGTTCAAGCAGCTCTATTATGTTTGTTACTTGTACAGTAGTTTGGTTCTCTCGTGAAGTGTCCTATCTGTTATTAAACGGTTCTTAACTACTTTCAGGGCCTCTTTTACTGGTGTTTTTGTAAACAGGGACACCTACATCGAAAGAGACAAATGTTTCATCTGGCTTAACCGTTTCCCGAGCCAATTCACCTGAATAATTAACATGGTGTTCTGTGTTACCTACTAGTGGCCTCAGGATTGATGTAAGGAATTTGGTAACAGTGTAGAATACAGTGTTGACATTGTCTACAATAGGCCTTAATAGCCAATTTGGCTTTAATGAATCTTTGGAAGGCAATACAACCTGGGTACAATTTCAGCGGTGGGAAAAAGCCAATATTTTTCTTTACTAGTGATTTTCTTCTCTTTCAGCAGCCTGGCCAAGATGTTAACTTTATGTTTGTAATTAGGTGTTGGATTACATTTCAGCAATTCGTAGACATCGGTGTCATTAACCATGGCTTCCACCTTTTCTTTGTAGTCATTTGAATTCAGAATGACAGTGGATCGTCCTTTATCTAATGGGAGAATGATGATTGTTGTATCCTTCTGATTTTGGAGTTTTCGTGAATAGTACGCAAAACCTCTGAAATCGGAGGGTTGATTAACAGTTTTGCTCTCTCTTAATATAGAGAGAGCTTGTTTATCGGAGGTTTAATTCGGAGGTTGAAGACTCCGATTTTAGAGGTTTCGCGTATAGTATGCAGAAACTCTGAAATGGAGGTTTGATTGAAAGTATAAAAACTCCAGTTTTGGCGTTTTTGCGTATAGTATGCAGAAACTCAGAAATCGGAGGTTTGATTGAAAGTTTGAAAACTCCAATTTTTGAGTTTTCGCGTATAGTACGCAAAACCTCCGAAATCGGATTAAATTTTTCCACTCTCTATATAGAGAAAGCTTTAGTATGCAGAAACTCCGAAATCAGAGGTTTGAATAAAAGTTTTGAAGAATCCAGTTTTGGAGTTTCACGTATAGTACGCAAAATCTCCAAGATCGGAGTTTTGGCGGTGGCCGCACACACTCCAATAATGGAGTAACTAAATACATGCAATCAAGTCATGTTACAGATGCAACTTTATTTCAGGCAACCCAGTTGTGACGTCCACTGACTGGGGTTCCGGCCTTCTGGGGTTAAGGGATTTTTTCTTTCTACTCCGCTGGCGCTGCCAAGGCTGATCATAATCATATGACGTAATCCACCCAAAAACATGCTGTATATAGGCATACGTGCAATTGATTACTTATTGAACAATATTTAATGGGTCTCTGTTTTCGAGGTCTCTAGTTTCATATGTGTGTTTCTCTTTTTTCGAGGTCTCTGGTTTCACAAGCGTAGGTCTCTTTTTTGAGGTCTCTGGTTTTATATGCATGGGTCTCTGTTTTCGAGGTCTCTGGTTTCATAAGCGTAGGTCTCTTTTTTTGAGGTCTCTGGTTTCATATGCATGAGTATCTGTTTTTGAGTATCGATTATGAACACAGAGATGCAGGATTATGAAATAATTACTTACTGTACGATTCTGTTGCGCATCTATTTTCCTAGAAATTTTTGATGCAAATTTGAGTAAATTTTGGCAAGCATAATATGTTCTAAGGCACAGGTGGGCAAAGTGAAGCCGTGAGTGGCATGTGGCCCGACAACCAGTGGCGGCTCTAGGATATATTTTCTGTTGTTTGGTCCTCTGACATATTTTTATGCCCACTCCTGTTCTAATGTATAAAATGAGATTTACCCTAGGCCTAGTCCATGCTGGTGACATTGTTGATAGTTAAACCCTCATGTATCATCTCTGTTTTTCATATTGGTAAGTAAGGTGGACGTTAAACTTTCATGCACATTCTCACTGGCAAAGCTCATTTGCGAAACTAACGAAAATACAGTTTCTAAATCTGTTCCTTTATAGAATGTAATGCTTTACAGATTAAACAAATAATGAAGTGCAAAGTGAAGAATACTTCCATGAGTTGATGGAACAGTCAATTTTTCAACGAAAAATATTCTTTCCATTGCACGAATACAAAACATTCATTATTTGTTTTTTAACACACCTAAATAGATACTTTTAATCATCTTCCAAGCGAGTGTCCCAGACTGTAAAAGTAAGGCCGGTCGCATGTTCGGGAAATATATCCTCCACGCAGAACCTAGGCCTCTATAGGCATTTCTAAAAATAAGTGCTGAATTCCACGCAGTCTTTTGCGCAAATTTGAGCCAGTTTTTGAGGTATCTTTCACACGATTAAAATACTTTTACAGTAAAACAAAATCTCCGATGCTTTGCACACTTCTAAGCAAGTTCAGCAAGAAGTAGGCCAACCACTGCCTGAGAGGTTATAGGTGACGTGACGTCATTTCATGAATTTAACCCTTTTTAACCAATCAAAAGATTGTGTTAGGTTGAAATCATTTGGTTTCCTATGCATTGTGCGCTGAAAAAAAACTGATGGAAAGAAAATGCACGGATGCAAATAAATAACGATTATTATTATTTTCATTATTATTATTATTTTCATTATTATTATTATTATTATTTTCATTATTATTATTATCATTATTTTTTTTTTTGTATTTTTTTTTTTTTTTTGCAGGATTTATGGGCTGCTCCAGAAATATGATTGCAGCAGAAACAGATTTTGAACCAGAAGTGGGAAATACATCATTGCCAATATTAAAACAAAATGATTTCTCCACTTACAATAAAGAAGAACATTTTATGCATATGTTAATTAATGTATCAAACTCTGGAACACAGAATGATAACAATGGTAACACCACTACAGAGTTTAACAAAACAGATGTAAGAAAAGTAAAGTACCCTTGCATTGCTAAACAGACTCCTGATGATTTAACTGCTGCAGTTAAAATTTTAAATACCACTCAATTGTTGGAGATAGTCAGCGTAACGAATGCAACAAATACATCATGTGCGTTTGTGATGTTTTATGCACCGTGGTGCAAGTTCTCGGCAGAGACTGCGCCATATTTGAACGCTATTGGACGTGCATTCCCTGGATTAGATGTCCTTGCTGTTGATGCAATGGAATTTAACAAGTAAGATTATTTTGTTATTTCACTTTCTTTATGCTTTATCCAGAAACAAATTTGCAATCGAGAATGAGATGATTTAAAAGTATACTCTAATACTTTATTATTGTATGGTGAATGCAAATTAATACTACAAAATGAATAAACATATCGCAAGTCCTTTGGGGATTGCTAAACCCATTGTTTATGTTTATAAGAACTTTATTAGTTCCTATGCATGTAATGCAATAGGAACTATTGTAATCACTCTTGCTATTTCCTATGTTTTTTATTGTGTGTAGTGTGCATGTGTGTGTGTAGACATTTATGCAAATGCGCATGCGTCAAAGAAAAGTTTTCCGACATTTTGTTTTACATCGCGATGCGAAGATCGATGTGAAGTTTCTGCAGAGTTCAGTCAGGGCTCACGCTAACCGATCGGCAAGTCGGCATGCATGAAACTATTTTGGTTTTACGGCAAAAAAAAAAATCAACTGCTGCAGGCATAGGTATTTTGAA